GATAACGCTCATGAAACGTCACATGACGGGAGAAAAACGCGAACGTACGCTCAATTACACGAGCATGCATTTCAAGTAGTAGCGGGCGATTTTCCTTAATTACTGAATCCTCTACAATGCCGACTTTGATTATACTCAGGCACGTGAGCTTCGCTTTCTTGTTCAAATTGTACACACAATTGCGCGAAAGGATTATGACGTTATTCCTGTGGATTTCGTGCGAAATACAGAAGGAAAAATAGGGGACGTACATACCTAAGTCTGAAACGTATACGCTACGAAAATATATGGTTTACTCGAAGGGTAGTAGCAACGTGCCAACGAGTAACCGAGTTGCAGAATTATTTATTCAATTTGCTATCAGATCGATACTACAGGAGATTTCTCTCAAAACACACACATGCCAATACCAAGTGATAAACTTTGTGTTCGATTTGCCTTACATGTCGAAAGGATGACACCAGGAGGTTGCAATGTATCGTTATTGCGAGCAATACGCAGGAATCTAAATTGAAATTTCAACTTTAAATTGAAACACAAATCCGTCGTAACCTCCGGCGAAAATCTGGCATTGTCACTTCTTTTATTTTCAGAGGCAGCGGATTTTCACCATGCGAAAATGTACAAAAATCCGATACGTCCATATTTATTGACTGATCCTGGGCATTTTCCCTCTACGCTTCTTCGCGCGTGGAATTTTGCCCGGACGCCGTTAACAACATAAAAATACATAAGCCTTCGACGCTGCGTTTCAATTATTTGCGAGCTGAATTTTTGGTTTATCGCGAAATCGACTGGCGAAATAATTCCGCTGCTCACGTAACCAATTGGATTGTGTTTTCCCCTCTTCTACCACCCCGGTCAACATTTCTCTTCAAAACATGTCTAAATATTTCACAGTTATGATCCGCGTGACATGTTCCACATTCGATAAATCACGGACGAAGTGCGTGAACTTCTATAATTTACATTTTATGGCGACTTAATAACAAAACCGACACGAAATTTAAAATCACTCGATATATATATATATGTATACATATATACATATAGAAATCTCTCGATTTTTTCGATTTTTCAATTCATCTCTGGTGAGATTCTGATTCAAACGTCGACAAAATAAATTCTCGAATGGTGCAGACAGCGATCCGTCGTGGCCTTGAAGCGGGTCTCACCCCGCGATTTCCCGCGGCGAGAGTCTACGACGAGGTATTAGCATTGGCACTAATTAAGCGGCTCGCGTTAACGGTAATTAGTCGTCGTCTGAAGAGAAAAAGAGAGAAAAAGAGAGAGAGAGAGAGAAGCGTCGTGTCGCGGCGCCGTTTAGATTTAGACGCCTGATTTCCAAGCATGAAAGCACAGCGTGCACTCTCTCTTTCTCTTCCCCTTTGTTTCTATGCAATGAACACGCACCCTTTCAAGTTTCGCTCGCGGCGGCGTTACGTGTGCCGGCTACGCTCGTGTCCGAACGCGTGAGTATGCGTGTAACTTCATCCTCGACGAGCGATGTACATCGTCCGTGATTTACCTCGCAAACATACAGCCGGGCCGAAAGCGTCTGGGAATTTATACACGTAACAGGCTACGCACTCGTATTTTATTGTAATTTTTTCTGGACGTTAATTACCTTTTACGAACACATGCACGCACACACTGGCTGTTGTGTGGACAATAATTTAATAAGCTGATAAATGTAAAATGAAAATGATAAATCGCAAATATTTGCGAGAGAGCGAGAGAGAGAGAGAAGAGAGAGAGAGAAAGAGAGAGAGAGAGAGAGAGAGAGAGAGAAAGCCATCTTCTCTTTTATAATTTTACTTTTCTCCTTCACAATTAAAAAAAAATATATAAAAAATCGCGGATATCATATACGTAACACGACAATTTTTATTTCATATCTCGTATGTACATTTCATCAGTACCAGTATGTACTTTCAAATTATTTTGAACATTTGCAATAATCATCAAAAATATATGCATCTCTGTCACGTGAAAGCAAAAAAAAAATCATAAAAGATGCATTGCATTTTGACGTTGTAATCAAGAAAGTCGAGTATAACAGCGTGCACGTTTATAATGAGTACGTAGACTGACGGTATGACGTGATTAACGAAGGACGACGAAAGAGCAGAAACGAAAAAATGACGTAAAGGCAAAAGCATTTTTTCCCAGGCGCTCTTCCACGTGGAAAAAAATAGCACGAACAGAAGCGCTAAAATGCACGACTCTGACAGGCACTTCCGCCTCGAGAAGTTTTTCGTTAATTGCTGCGCGCACGTTGGAAAGAACAAAAAAGTGGTTGCCATTGCACTCCTATGTTTCAGCATCGATATCGCACGACGATTTTTTTTACAACAAAAAAAATCGCCGTGGAAAATTATGCTGCATTTATAGAATTCGCAAGAAGAAGGTGATGATGGCAATTAAAAATTAAATATTTTAAGAATATTGCACCTTCAAACAATAATTATTATTAAAAAGATGCACAGCCATGTTTAATATTAAAAAGTGTTTTTCGCAATAAACACTTTTTCTAAATATAATTATTGAATATTAATCTATTAACAAAGTTGCAATAATTCTATTCAACTTTATTTATTATCAACTCTAATTTCACCTAAATATAATTTAATCTAAATAACAGCTGTTACAAATACTGTACACCGAGCTGTACACTTTTTTTAAACGACGTGGTAATGGTTTTTCCAATCTCTTTTTAATAGAATTCTGAATTTTTCAAATTTCTCTTTGATCAACAACATCCTTTATTTGTGAGGATCACGTTTCGAAATTAAATTTTTTTAAATCAATAACGAGAAGTACATTCTTTAGCTGTATTTGCTTTAAATATCATTGTATCACCGGCAAAAGCTTCAACAATATTCCGAGCCGCTTTCATTTAACGTTCGGATCTAATTTAATCTCAACCAAAAATATCACTGACTACAGAGTTATTCGTACTATTTCGTGATGATAAAAATGAAGGAAAAACCGGAATTATTTAAAAATATAAAAATAAAATAGCAAAGTCATAGTTTTTAAATGCATCAATTGACAGTTTAATAACAATCCTTCGAGCAATCATCCGTGACACGTGCAAATAAATCCTAGTTACGTAAAAAAAAAATTGAAACATGGATATTTTTGAGAATATGACAGGTTACGCTTGTAACATTGTCAGAGACTAGATTTCTCGATCATTTTCGTAATTCACCAACAGATGTGGGGAAAGCACATGTTTTTATCGAGTCACGATTCACCTGACGTAGCCACATAAATTGCAATTAACGGTATTCTACGCGAACATTCTCGTTGACGGACGTGTCATGGTGTTTCATAACCATAAACGAGAATTTATGTTTCCAGTTATATTAGTCCGTAATGGAACTTAAAACTATCTTGCGCAAATTTCACCAGTTTAAATTTGCTATGTCATTAAATAAAATATGTTTCATATCTAAGTGGATTTGCACAGGTGTTAACGTACATTAAATATCCAACTAAAATAATCCATATTTTACAGGTTATTCGTTAAAAATTTTTATAATTTTATTTAAATATAGTAAAGTTTAGTTTTATTAAATAGATTGCAGAATTTAATGGTTCCGAAAATTTCATATATTTTAATCGACTTCTAGAGGTGCCATTTTTAAAGAGAAATATATTGCCAAGCATACTTTTATTTATTATCGAGAAATGAACGACTTGAGAATGGCCAGAGCCGAAAAGAAAAATGTTACGATATATGACCCACGCCAGTTGGTGTTTCGCGAGCTGTAACGGCTGGCCGAAATGGTTGCGAGCGACTCCGTGATGTGTACTCTGAACGCGGAAAACGCAAAACGGTACTCGCGAATCCCCGAAGAACATCGATACAATTACATCCCGTCGGAAGAAGAATGACGACCTGTTTATCGTGGATACGCCGTGCGGTGTAACGAAGGGCCCTGAACGCCCGGGGGAGAGGGAGGGCGAGAGCTCGAACGATTTTAATATTTCAGCGAGGCCGCGGAGGACGGACGGCGTTGTTTAATTATCTTGATTACAATGCCGTTCCGCGATCCGCTGATTGCGCGGACGTAAAAGTACCGTCGGGGGTCGTCTAACGAACTTGGCCCTTTGATCTTCGCGCCGAAGTTCTTAATTATTTTTCCGCTGTTTCTTTCGGGAGATCGCGCCCGGTGCAAAACGGTTGTGTCTCGCCACGCAGACGATTTATCCGACCGCGCTTCTCGATTATCCGCCGCGTGCTGTCCTGCCGCGATTATGCAAGTTATAGCCCGAGAAATTCCTCACCCGCGCGTAGGTGGACCGTGCATTTTACATCGTATTTTATTACAATTCCAGCGTAATATACCCCAAGTCCGATTTTATGCGATAATATAGAGAAGGTATAAAAAGACCTTTCAAATAAAATTCACTCTCCTTCCCTCAACATTTTACTGCGCTATTTTATTGCAAATAAGGCAGAACACTTCTGCATAATTTTTTAAAAATCTAAAATGTACCGCTAGAAATAAATTATTAATCTTAAGTTTAATAATGGATACCCGTACATATATCATTGAGAAACTTTCTCCTTTTTTCACCGCCCAAAGTTGAACATGCCACTAGTTTACGATATTCGGTAAGAGGTGAAATCTGTAAGGCTAATGGGCCACCGCAATCAATACCGCTATTATTATCTCAAAATAATGTCATATTTCGATATCAGAGAAAATTTCCAATTTCCTTTTTGGAAGCTCTGTATGTGCGTGCAAGCGTATTCCCGCACATACAGTAAATCGACAAATCATACATCCGAAATTAAACATTCTAACCTATTTTAGCCCATCTTTACGACAACGGATACTATAAATTATCATATTATTTTTCTAGAATATTTTTATATTGCTGCTAACTGACAATGAAGCATATATCTAAATACTCCATACAAACGTTTGACATTTTTTTTTTCAGATCTGTAGCTTCAATATAAAAAAAATTATTTTGTCACTCACCGATCGATGCGCAACAGCAGAAACTACGTTGATATGTAACATAAAAATAAAAAATCCATATTAATAGAACCATCAAAACAATTATTATTTCAAAAAATAATCAAAAAAATCACGCATCAATTTTTATATTCGTCAAACAGATATTTAATTAAATATCTGTTTATTAAATCACATAATTCTCGAAAGAAATTTTCCTCTCACATACATATATAAGCTTTCATATAATTTCGCAAATAAATCTTGCTCCAATTCTGTCGTTTAAATCATCATAATAAAAATAACGATCCAAATAAACGGAAAAAATAAACAATTAATGACTCTTATTAAATGAATAATAAATTATATACATATAATATGCTCTCACCTCATGATTATTCCGCCGTCGCCCGATGCCTCCCAGGCTTTTCCCTCCTCCTCTCAGGTTGCCAGAATTGTCAGGTTCGCCGCATTCACACAAATACAACACTCGCGAAAACGCGCGTTAATTACAATCGCGCACGAATTAATTAGCGGAGTACGATCGGAAGACGATCGCGCGATTCGCACGGCACTCCCGAATTTAATTGCCGAGCCTCGAGCATTAATAGACTCAATCTTATAACGTGCGATACGAGAGATTCTATATGACGTCCAATTATTAATTAAAGCGCCGCCGGTCTGCTCGAAAATGTATAATCTAAATTCGGTATTGCACACACGCGCAATGTACATACATCGAACGTAAAAATCCCGAAATAAATTAATAAAGAATTGATATATTTTTCCGTTACTTACATCCGGCGAGAGTCGCGCGTCATAAAAATATAGCGAGCGAATTATAATAGGAGCCAAAATAAAAGTGAATTATCGATCGAAGAATTGAACGAGCGTGATACGAGAGATATAGGTATACATTCGAATTCCAGCATCGAGAGACTAATGGCTAATATTATCGCCCCGGATATCAATAGCTGTCAATACGTTCGCCTATTGTGCGAACTGACTTATCGCGCGGTGTTCGCTAATTTTGTGAATTGATCGTAGGAATTACGCCGTTTTCCACTAATACATCGCGATCGCGCTTCGACGACTACACGACGCGCGTGCGCGCGAGCGTAACGTAACGTCCCGCGTCCCGCGCCGCTGCCTGCCCGCCCGGCGCGCGACGACCCGGACGACCTACTGTAAACATCGGTACGCCGCGCCGTACGCCGCGACGACAACAACAAACGCCGAATGCCGGGCTAGCTCGTGGTAATATTCAACAGATATTATTCGACGAATATCTTAAAAAGTACGCCGACAACAACTCTTTGGCATGGCGCGCGCCAGAACGATCGCTCTACGGTAAACGGCGCGAGCATACCGGCGACTCTCCGTTTCCATCGCTCGTATATCTGGTCGAGTCAAAGGGCTCGCGCGTCATGCCACCCGTGCTTTTGATTCGGTTAAGCGGTGGACAGATTACGCTTACAATTAGACCGAAAGACCGAAGCGTGAATATGTATGTATGTATGTCCGAATACAATCGCGCTGACCGCGTTCAAAGGATTATCAGCCGTAATGTACCGCGATCCCGAGCCTCGATTTCCATCTGAAACGAGTGAATCGCGCGGAATACCTTTTGACAAACAGCCGTCGGCTTCGCGTCGCTTGCGAGCCGTGGACCGTAGTGATAGCGGAAGATAGCTAATGGTACGTATCGATAATTACCAATTGCTCGTGAGGAATGGGGACGCATTTCGACAGATAAATTCGCGAGATCGCGACACCGCCGGCGCTCGCTCGGAGTCCCGCCGGACGAATGGCGGCCATATCGCTACACGCACACACCGCGCACAGCTCGCCCACGCGGGGTAGGGGGCGGTAAATACAAACGTCGCGAAACGGCGCGCGAGCAATTCATCGCAACGGCATAAAACATTCATTGCTTTATAAATGAAAGTGAGTCTACTGTTCTTTGCATTACAAATCAATTTCAACAAATAGGCAATTATTACGCATTGAATAGAACGTTTAGTCGAAGAATAAAAGTTTGCTTTCGCTTTAAAATCGTTAATATATTTATGAATCAATATACTAACAATCAGTATATTTGAATCAATACACATTTATTGTTATATTGCTTTTTCCTGAATTCTCTCTCTTATGTTCCGCAAGCAGCAAAAACGGTATGATTTTAATAAAGAAATCTCTGTGAATCTTAATAAATGAAATTTAAAATTAAATATCCGCAATCAATGTGGCGATTTAATATCATTTTTCTTCAGATTTATTAAAATCTTATTAATTTCAGATATCAAATATAAAAAATTTCCATTGGATAACATTGGTTAGTTTCGATCACCTATAACTCGAAAATTATTCTTTTCATCCTAGGGCGCTTTCGCTTTGATTAAAATCTGATACGCTATTAAAAAAAAAAAAAATATATATATATATATATATATAACGTATCGAAACATTTTGTATAATGAAATAAAATATTTTTCTTAACTAACACGCAAATGTAATAGATAACAGTTACACGAATTTTCCGCATTAAATGTAATCTTTACGAGAAATATCTTCGATTCACATATTTAATTGAGTATTTAAAAAATTTTCCAGAAAGCCAGAGATAGCCAACTATTTTATTTAATTTTTAAATACTTCCGAAATTAATAAGTAATAAAGAGCAGTGAATTAGTGCCGGCGGAGGATGTTCCCTCGACAATTATCACATTTCTTCTTTCTCCCTCCCGTTTGTAATTGTTGCTATAACACGCAGGTAGATGCATTTGGCCGGTACACGAAACAGAGATTTCATCTCGCGTCTTGGAACACTTAACGCATTCCGCCGCGTTCCTGAATTACACGATGAGCGTAATAGACGCGCGGTACGGTCCTGTTTTACAACGCGGAGCGGGAGAGAGGATGGCCCCGCGGACTCGTGAGATGCACGCTATCGCGATAAAGCTCGCGTGGGTCATCGCGCTCACTTTATGTTCTCGCGATATGGGGTCGGTCCACTTGGTGGGTAAGAACACGGAAAAATCATGCGGCTACAAGGACTATCTGAAATCTAAGGGACTCCACGTCGTTTCCCTCCGTATTATGGCGAGTCCACGTCGGTCGTTATACGTAACCGGCGCATTTGTCTCTTCTGAACCAGTTGCAACCGACCGGTGTACAACTGTCAGGAAACCTTGAGGGAGATGCATGCGTTTCCGCTGGATAAAACGTTACAAATTGCTACTTCGGGGCGCTCCGAGGTCGCGAAAGTGATATTAGAAGGTATACGCGACTCGCGACTTTCGCTCTCTCTCTCTCTCTCTCTCTCTCGGCATCGCATAAGTTTGTTTGCTTGTTTTATCATATATTCGTCAATTTGCAATACGCGTTTCCTACGTAATGTCTGTTAACGAGATGTATTCAACGCTGGAACAATTCTTTATCTATCGAGATAAAAATTTCAATTAAGGTATCTCATTAACCTACATGCTTGTTATCCTTAAAAATTATATGAATGATGCGAATTTATTTTTATTTTAACTAACAAGAGCATACTTATGAAACAAAGCCACAGATTCTTGAGAGAATCAAAAACTAAAAATATTTGTATGTTATAAAGGAAAAACGAGATTGGATACATTATGGCCGTTCATGTAACGGCAGAAGTGTTTTCAGCAGACATTCTCAACACTGTCGTCGCTCGCATATTTATCTGGAAAAAAAATCAATGTTTACATTACGAATTTAACATATTGAAGAATTTGAATCGCGATTGAAGAATCTGATCGATGGCCTGCATTCGTTTTTAGAACGTGTTAACGAAGGCTAGCCGCACGAAGCAAGTCGGCTTCACTAATTCTGTGATGAAATAATTGCTCATACTTTTTATGTTGAATATTTATGACGTAATACACGTAATATTTAATGTTGCGGAATAAATTTAAGTTGCGCATAGCTGAATCTACGGTCGATCGGCGATTCGAATATACGCGAGCTAGCGCGCGAACGCTTATCTAAATTGTAAAAAGGCTCCGGGTTATTTCCATGCTCCGTAGTTCGGGTCAGACAGCGTTGCATCGCCGCTACGTGGGCGAATATTTATTTTTGCTTGACTAGTTACACCCGCTAACGAACCACCCACACCGTCGGAAATTCTTAAAAGTGTAATATATCCTCCGGGCGAAACGATATTTTACTGCTCTCGGTTACATTACAGGCATCGCCACTTAAAATAATGGGGCGCGAGTATACCTTGGCGGTCGCAAAGTACATCTTGTCGTTTACAGAACGTCAAAATGTTGTTCTAAATAATACGGGGAAAAAAATTGGATTAATTTTTAATTACAACTATCTCTAAAAGAAGAGCATCATTAAATCATATCATTAAAAATCATACACTGATGCAAAATGCAATCATCACAACATATTCTGCAGAATCAGAATTAACGACTAAATAATATATTTACGCATATTTTATAACGCTCATGTTACATTTGCGAGACATATTTGCAATTGTAATTGTAATCATAATTTATTTATATCTATACGTAAACAAAATAACAGTAATTATAATTCCATCTAATTTAGGCGAGATAAAAGTATTTATATAATCTCCAAGAAACGCGTTAGCCATTATTTTTCGTCCGTGACTTCGAGTGCAAAAACAAATTAAGAAGTTATTTACCGCCCGAATGATAAATCGATCAATCAATTACCACGTTTAGCGCAAACTCTAAAGGCGCTTTCCTTCGCCGTATTTTAGGTCAGTTCGCGCAGCTCCCTTTATACGTGACCTGGCATTTATCTTTGCTGAACTACTTGAGTCGGCAAACGAATCGCACCAGCGTGACGGCCGCGGAAGTGGAACAATAGTTTGGCGCTCCTCCGCCGTTTCGCTTATATACATAACCATAGGGATGTTTAGCATCGATTCTGCTGCTAGGTGTACGCTAACAGGCCGTCGCGTCGCACGCAGCTGGTAGAGAAATGCTAAAACGCAAGCGGCGAATTAGTGGCCGGCCGCGTTTCTACGTCACAAACAGCGATTGTTATTTCTGCTCTGGACTGCGTCTAAGAAACATGACATTCGCTTTGAATGACGCTGCTCATGAGACGGATCGAATGATTCCCTTGTTGAAGACAATGGTCTCTTGTAAATCGATGTCACGGGCGTGACGCGGTGCTATTGACCATGGAAATATTGGTCAAATTCAAGATTGAAAAATGTATTTAAATTTTAAATAATACGACAGGAATATCTCTCTTATTATACAAATGTGCAATATATAATTTGACACTAATTGAATGTATATGGCATAATGCGAATGCTAATATCGCATAATGTAAAATATAATTAATCTGAAAAATAATATAAAAGAAATTAATATTTTTTAATCATTAAAATATTATAATTCTTAAAATATATTTAATTAAATCCGTTATTAAATATTTTTCTCGACAAATTAATATTGCTAATATGTTTATGAAACACGAATGAAAACGAATATATAATATTATATATATATATATATATATATAATATATATATATATATATAAAATATATCAAGATGTTTCTCAATATATATTATATA